CCACTGCAAACAAAGTTAAAAGGTAATTAAATATAAACAGAAATTTAAAAACTCAAAATAAAAGCCACTTAAATTTCAGCATAAAAACAAGAAAATATTCTTATGACATAAAGGGCTCCAAAAAATAGAAAGAAAATATACCAATATTAAAAGTATATTATTCAACTCAAATGATATATAGTGAGCACTGCATTCTTTTGTTAGGGTCACATGACAAAGTATACAAACCAAGAGGTTTCAATAACAGAAATTCATTTTCTCACAATTATGGATGCATCCCATGAGAAACATGACATTTGAACAAAGATGGGGAAAAGAAATAAATGGGAAATCATACATCCTCAAGAATTAGAAATGCTCAATGAGCATATAAAACATGCTCATTTGCAACAAGACATCATTCATCTTCTGGTGTACTGATAAAAACATTTTTTAAATAACACCAAATGCTGACCAGCATGTAGGCTAAAGGGTTAATTAAAATATAAACTTGTATAACCACAAAAAAATTAAAGGAGAAAATTTATACCCATGGTTATATCATAATCAAAGATGAACTTCAGATGGATCAAAGATCTAAATGTGAAAGACAAAAATAAAAATGTAAAACATGAATATTATACTAGAAGGAAGTGATAATAAATATCTATGTTACTTAATGATAGAGAAAGGTCTCTAAAATGAGATTCTATAAACAAAAATCCTAACAGTTACAAAGATAGATCTGACTATATTTAACCAAGAACTTCACAGGCAACATGGGCTGGGATAAGATAAATGCAACATTGAAAACCAATAATGGATTAACATAGAGGATATATGGGGAGTATTTGTACTCAAGCAGAAAAAGAAAAAAGAAAAAATATATTTATGAAAAGTAATAAACAATTCCCTGAGAAGAAAACCTGAATGGCTAACAAATGAATGAAAGATGGACAAACTCATCAATTACCAGAAAATATAAACTCCAACAATGGGATGCCAATTTATGCAATTAGGGTCGGCAAAGGGTTTGAAGGCGGCAAATACCAAGTGTTGACAAAGCTACTAGAAGAAGTAAAGTCCTCATGTCAGAGAAGTGTCACTCAAAACAATCTGACAGTATTTACCTATATTAACTGTTTGCCCTATGACTCAACAATTCCGGGTCTATCTACCTGTATATTGCAGATGAATACTTTCTCAAGAGTTCCATCAGGGGACAAATAAATGGTTGTTCACTGAATGCACTTTAAACAGTAGATAAATGGAGCCTGAGTGTCCACTAATAAGAAAATGGAGAAGTAAAATGTGCTAGATATATAAAGCAAAATACTATACAATAGTTAAGACTACACGTCCTACAGTTAATAACAGCAAAATAGACATACATTCAGCAACATGAAGAGATCCCTAAGGCAATACGGTAAATGGAAAAAGAAACATCTACTGCATACTACTATCTATGTAAATTAAAAACATATTCACCCACAAAATCTCTAGAAATACACAAGGATATGCATGCATTTGATTGAGAACATATATCAAACATATTGAGAGAAGGAAGTGGAGGGGTCAATAAGGAATGGGCAAAGAAAAAAGAAAGCACAAAATAAAACAGAGGTAATACATAGATTAATAATAATAATAATAATAATAATAATAATAATAATAATAATAATATGGTATGAACCAAGAAGTATAAATTCGGCTCTTTGTACCTGATATCAAAAAAAAGAGGGACTATGAAAAAACTACCTCCATAAAAATTTCTGAAATCAATGGGTTCCCAATTGGAATTCCATTTTTTTAAGCTGAATCAGATTTTAAATTTAATCTGGAAGCATAAATTGGTAGAAGCATACAAATCTACCAAAACTGAAAGAAGACTTATACTGCAGGACATTTAAAAGAAAAACATAATCCTACAATAATTGAGATAATATGGGTAGCAGAATAGAAACATAGTCAGAGAAACAAAGTTCAGAAGTGAACCAAAGACTATCTCAGGCTTCAATGTGAGAGGAGCAGCTCTCCTTCTGCGTAGCTTTCCTCAGGCTTCTCTTGGCACCAGAGTCTACCACCTCATCCACTGACTTGAACAACAAGCAAAGAAGTCTGTGAGCCATTGAGTCAAAAGAGTGAGCTGCAAATCAACTTGAATAATTCATTTTTATGATCATTTTTCACAGTAATACTCTAGAAGAAATCTCATATTTCATCTAATCCAGTGATTTTTTAAAAGGTTGTCATCAAAGCATTTCCATTTGGCTTGCTTAAATATTTATTCCTTTATGTAATCTAAAGAAAAGTGACAGTCAAAAAACAGGCTGTTGGTTTTGGCTTGTCCAGCATGGAACCTTCTGTTCCATCCCCACTCATTTTCCCATTACTCTGGGTACCCTCTATTTGCAGATAGTTTTCATCTACTTGCATTGGTAGATTTCTCTCCACCTTGATTCATCTTTAACATTTGCACTTATCAGTAAAGGATTCTAGGAAAAAATAACTTCCAAGGTGAGACCCAAATACAAATGAACAGGATTTAAGCCACGTGAAGGAGGCAACATGAGGAAAAGCAAGAGCTACAGATCATGTGAGAGCAATTCAAAAACCCAAAAAGACTCAGAGGCTGACCTTGTGAGGGTTAAGGTGAGGGGTAAGTAAAGCATGGTACTGTGTTTTGAGCTGAACAGAGAGGATGGCAATCTGATTACATAAGTTAGTGAAAGGTACAATCAGGGAAAACCCTGCAGTTTAAAGTACAGTGAAGGAAATGTTATGGCCTTTAGAATAAGGAACCTTAATGCTAGTAGGATTAGAGCTAGATGTTTAAATCAGATCCCACAGAAGCAAAAATTGGAGCAATGAGAATGGATGATGTTACCATAGCCCAAACACAGAGAAAGAAGAGCAGAGCTGTAGGGACAGAATACTGAGAAAAGAAATTTGAACCACTTTAGAGACGAAGTAAGGGGGAAAAAAAGACAAAAAACAGTAAAAAAAAAAAAAAAGTATGACATAATAGGAATGTCTAAAAATTGCAATATGAAAAAATCCAACTATAAAACAACAAAGAAAAATGTGGTAAAAACTAAAACTAAATAAACACTTGAGAAAGAAATAATTTTAAATAATTTAAATTGTTTAATATATCAACATGTTTATCTCATTTAAAAAATGGTCTACATGTAGCAGAATAAACTAAAACACACATTCACAAATACATTCTTAACAATTTTGAGGGGATAACTAATATTTTTATAACATACTAATTCAGTTTATTGCCACTTATATGATAATGAACTTATTTTATGCATGGCTAGGTATATATTAATGACAACACTCATTTAAGATTTTTTATATAAATTAAATTATATTTTAATTTTTTTTAAGAATTTCCTCTTACTCAAAATAAAATATAGTAATATAAAATGTCATTTAACACTATTGTCTATAAATCAAAGTAAAATAAATGAGAAAGAAAATAATCAGTGTCCTCTGTGGATATTGCTGATGATCATACATATCCACAAACTTTTGAATAGCATTTCTATATTTGGAAAATTCTTACCTCAAGGTTCCACTTTCGCAACATATAAATCAGGATACATAATCTATAGTATTCACGCAGGTCACTTGGATTTTCCCTGTACAATTAGACACCAGCTATATGAGAAAATATGACCTGTGCAGAAGCAAGTTCCTCTCCATCCCCATTCCACATGTGGGTGGTAGCAGAGGTGTCTGGGCTTCCAATGCAGCAGTGGATGTGGGGGGGTGGTTTTTCTGGTTTTATAGTTAAAGTTCTTAGTGCAAATGAGTTGGTAGGCAGCATGGACGGTATCAATTTTCTCTGAAGCACAATAAGACAGAAGTACTCCACAGGTTAGATCAGGGACATGGTTTAAATAATTTTTTTTCTAGTTCTGCAGGCATCCCACTATTTCTGTGAACTACCTA